GCCTTAGTACAGTATATGCCTGTGTATATATAGGCGAGAAAGAAAGGAAAAAAGAACGTAACAGAAAACATGATGTAATATAAACAGTGATGTAATATATACAATGGTGTCACAGGATGACATGATGAGATAGTGACTATATGAAATACATTTCCTGGAAAGGAAATGTTTCTTTTATATAATCACGCAGTAGTACACTGACGCTGCAGTGACCATTTTAGGTCTCGTGACCTAACACACTCGTAATTTATATCAAAGACTACGCACTTTCATGAGAAAAACAGCTTATTCTCTTCAGGTTCAGTCGGCGGAACGAAGTCAATCTAGGGTAGACTCAAAAAAGTTTTCCCAATGGTACGAAATGGATTTTCCAAAACGGGAATGATGTAACGTTTTTATACAAAAAGATATTGAAAGAAATCAAAACTAAATAACACCTTAAGCACTTTTCGTCAAAAAAAGACCACCCTTAGTGTTTGTGTCTAGAGAACATTTTCGTAGTCTTCGTCGCAAATGACAGAAACTTGATAATGCGAATAAACCAAAATTGCTGCCAAACACAAACATCTTTGAATGCTGACGAACTTGATTCAGAAATGGTTTGTAAAATATCTCCAGATAAAAAGAAGAAACCAACGGAATGTTGTCTGAAATATTTGCCTGCTTTTGCGGTAACAAAAGTGGATGGAAAAACCGGCAGCTGTGCCACAGAAAGTGGCGAAAATTTTTGAATGGAGAACTACAGCAGACGTTATTCAGATTTACCGTATTTTTTTGTATCATATACGCTGATGAATTACCGTAAAAAATGGCAGTGGGCTGGAAAATGAATTTTTCGAGTCGCAAAACCACTAGAAACTTCGAGTTACTTTTCTGCTTCTTACGCATAAGAATAATGCCATTGTCGTATGCCTGCTGCCGTAGGTGGCGAAGCTTTTCAGTGTCATGATTGCAAAAAAAACGTTTCTGTGCTGCAGACATGTTACTATTTGCACGCTATTATTTGCTAGTATTTGGCGGCTCCACTAAATAATTTGGACCAGGTTTGAAACTACCCAAGTCTCATGAGGTCAATCTAGAGTAAGCTCGAGCCTACCCAAGCCTGGTGGCTCCGCCGCCTATGTCTTCAGTTACTACAATTTCAGTTTTATAGTCGACTTTTAATGCCGCCTTTCGGTCGTTTTGCATATTTGTAGATTTGATAGCTAGCCTTTTCAAAATTTTTTTCTGATTTTTCCGTCAGGCGCCTGGCGGTATTATTTAAAACAGCGTTGATCTAGTGTCAAGACGACTAGCTTCGACTGTTTCCAAATTCGTTCTTTGCTGAGAGTTAAACGGACGTCTCATCGCCATCCGGAAGGAAGGATTCTCTTAACAAAGACGAAATTCAGAGTAGTCCGGACGCCTGTCATACCATTTTTAGTAAAAGACACTTTCGTCATAGGGCGGGGGGGCTGTACTTTCGTCACATGTGACGAAAGTACGTTTTTCAGAAAAAAGCGTGGTGATGTAAGTTCCCGTGAATTTCGGAGTGCTTTTTTGTGGCTGTGACGAAAATTCACACTTTGATGACGAAAGTTCCGTCGAGTGTGAAGAAAAAGCCCGTGTTTTTAACGGTCCCTGCTTAACTTTCACTACACGTAAATACTGCTATAAATACAGAATAGAATCAACTGCTGTGAGATTATTATGCGATCGGGAGCACTCCGTCAGTAAGAGTGCACCTAGTATTTACTACATTGCAGTACTTCCTTAACAAGTGCTTACAGCGGCTTATGTGCCTTTCTCATGAGATAACAAGTAAAACCAATGAAGTGCTTCCTGAGGTAGTACTTCCTGACTAAATACTACTCACACTTTAAAACATAAAGAAACATATATAGAATCATACATATAGAATCAAGTGTTGTGAGATTAGTATGTGATCGAGAACACTTCTCAGTAAGAGCTGCACTTGGTATTTACTACACTGCAGTACTTCCTTAGCAAGTACTGACAGAGTAAATAGCGGCGTATATATACGTTTTCGGAGTGCTTTTTGTGGCTCGAAATTCACTTCTACATAAATTGTAACTTACAGTGAACAAAGATTTATTGTTCAAAGTTTATGAACCTACTCTGTAACCACTAGGTAAGGAAGTACTCCATTTAATGTTCGTTAAATGTGACCGAAGTTCACCACTACTGTGACGAAAATTCGCCTCATGCAACGAAATTTTTGGTGTGTGTGACGAAAATTCACACTTTGGTGAAAACAGTTCCCGAGGAATATCTCCACCAAAGAAACTTCCGTCATATATGACCAAAGTGTGTTCGTCATAATGACGAAAGTGCCATAATCTCAATTTTTTGCTCAGCTCGGTATATATTACTTATGCGCTTTTCATTATAGTTAGCGTTACACGTTATGCTAATGCGTTACAACGCATTAAAGACATGTTTTTTCCAAAGTTATCGCGTTGTAACACAAAAGAAAACCTAACACATTTCACTAACGCATTATAATGCAATAAATAGGAAAAAGATCACATAGGCTGTTTGCGCCCTTCGTATAATTCATATACGGATAAGATTTCTTCCAGTTTCCTGTTACAGTGTATTTACTTCACTCTCAATGTTATCAACGCAAACTTTAACAAAAAGAATAAAAACAGAGTACATGAAAGTGCATACAATGTACATATTTTACTCCAACACTACTTAACCAAAGAATCATATTTCGTTTCCTTTTTGCGTTCGAAGAAATTTCACCTTTTTTATATGATTTACGTTTAAATTGTCTCTACTTTATTAAGCCTGTGTTGTTTTTAACCTCTTGAATGCCGTTATTTTTCCTCTTCCGCGTCCAAAGGCATGCATATGTAAAAAAACAATTAAATGTCTCTCTTTGCGTTCTGTTGTTTTCGTCACGTGTGTTCCTCTGACATTTTTTTTCGTTAAAACCATGGAACGAAAAAGCATATGCAACATATACAATTTCCTTCATATCATCTATAGATGCCTTACGGCATTCAAGAGGTTAAACTCGTCACCTGTCGGCTACACAAATACTGTACAAAAACGCTTGCAATTACGTGTGTAAATGGCCAATATGTTCATATCTCTTTAGAGTGTACGTTTTCCGTAGACAGTCTTAGTGTGTATACCGTCTGGGTGTATAAGAACATTTTGTCTTCGGTTGCGAGCGGAAATAGGGTATGAATAAAAACTAATTTCGTGTTTGTACTTAATGTGATTGAAACTATGTATATGATGCCATTTAAAGCTCATACGACGACAAAAACGCACGAAAATAATGGTGGCTACATGTGCGAGTCGAAGGAGACACGTACGATTTTGAGGCATGTTAGCGTAATGTGCTTTTGCATGGTTTCAGCGTAATTGAAGCGGTATAAATTTCGAAAACGTTTGTTTACATACAGAAGGAACTCTGCTTTTCTTCCAGATCTCTTTACACAAGAGTGTGACAGTGATCTTAATATGTATTTTACGCCGACATTTTGAGTCGTCTTATTCTATAACCATCTTTCTCTCAGTGTACGATATCTGTCTTTTCAAACTGGTTTTAAATCTACCTTACTGGTATTCACCTCCGATGTTGCTACACCCTTCTTCACAGTGTCAATAAACAGCCAACAAGTTAACACGTATCCTGATGTATCTTGTACACGTGAAGTACCGAAGCACATTAGATCCTCTTCATTAACAGCATCATTCCTATATTTTTGTGTCGAAGCTGGCGAAACAAAATATCTGTTGTGAATTAGTTATCATTATAATCGCTCTTTTGCAACTTAATGCAATCGGTACATGTCATTTTAAAACCTTACATCCACTTCTTTTCGTCCCTCAAGTTAGCATATAAGATGAAAAAAGTTTGTTTGTTTTTGTAGAAACACGAGAAAAAGATGTGGCCAGCAACAGTTATGGCAAGCAAGGATCCAAAACCAATATCTCAGTCAACAATCAACGATTATATGAACGCTCCCGCATCACGTTTTCCAGCACGAAATCTTGAAAGTCATACAATTGTCTGACTTGATGCAAAGGTTAATGAAACAGACGATAACTTAAAAGCAAAAGCTGAATTACGCCGAACTGTCAATTATGTGAAAACTTTCAGTGATCAGGATAGATGTGTTCACTATCTAAAATCTGTGAGAACCGAAAAAGTATTTTTGGTCGTCTCTGGTTCACTAGGCGAACGTATCGTACCCGTGATTCATCAGCTACGGCAAATTGAATCGATTTACGTATTTTGTTCTAACAAGAGCTACCATGTAAAATGGGCCAGAAACTACCAAAAGGTTCATGGTGTTTATACAGAAATTAGTGTCGTCTGTGATCAGTTAGGCAAAGATGTTGTTGCTTTATCGAACGACGATGTATCGATGCGTGTTATGTCGCCGAATGCATCATTCAACCGACAAGAAGCATCATTCATATACTTTCAACTGCTGATCAATATTCTGCTTCGTATCGAAGACACAAACGGCAATGCCAGAAAAGAAATAATAGATGAATGTCGACAACAATACGCTGGTAATGACAAGGAACTGAAAAATATCGATGATTTTGAGATGACTTATTCCGTTAACAAAGCTGTTTGGTGGTACAATCATGAGTGTTTCATTAATCGCGTGTTGAATAAAGCCCTAAGAACAGCCGATATTGATGTTCTGTTCAAACTTCAATTTTTTATCAAAGATCTTCATCGACAACTCTCCCACTTACACTCAACAAACAAAGTTCAGACAATTGTCGCATATCGTGGACAGGGGATGGTGACAGAAGAGTTTGAAAAACTTCGGGCCAATGTTGGTGGCTTTTTATCAATGAGCAGTCTTCTATCAACATCGATAAAACGTGACGTTGCTCTTTCATTTGCTCGACGATCGTTGAATCGTTTAAATGTTCAGTCAGTTCTATTTAAAATAACAGTTGACACGAAAAAGTGCTCACGATCATTTCCTAATGTTGAGAAAGCGAGTTGGGCCCAAACCGACCATGAAATACTCTTCTCGACAAGCACAGTATTTCGAATCGCTTCAGTGAAGAAACTTGATAATTGTGATATATGGAATGTGAAACTGACTTTGGATGGCGAAGAAGATGAACAGCTGAGACAGCTTACAGAACATATGTGGTTGGAAATAAAAGGATCAAAGGATTTCTTCACATTAGGCAACTTACTGTTAAAAATGGCTGAATATGATCAGGCGGAACAATTGTATATGATGATACTTGACAACATAACTGAAAATGATCCTGATGTTGGCCATATTTATAAGCAACTTGGGTATATTTATAAACAGAGAAACAGCAGTCAGCAAGCATTGATTGATTACAACAAGTGTCTGGATGTAGAATTAAAGTATCTGTCATTAGAACCACCGCTACTAGCAATACCAGAAAGTAACACTGGCATGGTTTACTCAGATCAGGCTGCGCAGGAACAAACACTGGTTGACATGGAAAAAGCTTTGGAAATAGAAAATAAAACTATATGTACGGATGAGTCATATCTTGCCAAAACGTATAACAATATTGCAATGGTATATTATAATAAAAAGGAGTATCATAAGGCTCTTGACTACTATCACAAAACATTAAGCATAGACAAAGCAACTCTGCCCACGAATCCTCCACTATTAGGTGCAACATATAACAACATTGCTGGTGTGCACTACAGCAAAGGTGATTATGTACAAGCACTGAAATATCTGGAAATAACCTTACAGATAGAACTCAGTTCTTTATCAACAACACATCCTTCAGTTGCAGTGACATACTGGAACATTGGATTGGTTCACGGTGATCAACAGAACTGGACAGAAGCGCTAAGAAACTTTACTGCAGCCTATCAGATTGCCAAGAAATCAAATCACCCCGATATGCAGAAATATCAACAGCATGTTGAGATAGCCAATGCTAAACTTCAACAGTTCAACAGCCGTTGAAACACACAAAAGTATTCCTGTTACAAATGGATGTTTTCTTCTTATTTCTGTTTAATTCAACTACAAACTTATTTTTCTATCGAAAGTGATCACGCCCAACAGTGCCTTTATAGAAAGCGAACTCATCGAAGTACGCATTCCTTTAGATATCTTTCTTTTTATTCAAAGTGCTTCCGTACAGATAGAATTCTATCATGTTTTGAACGCCTAAAATAAATCGATGTTCAGCGGACGAATGTCTTTAAAACTGTTTTTGTGTGAGCTGAACCTTAAGACTTTCACGATGTTGGCGATCTTATCGGATCTAATTAACTCATCAGCAACTGTGTTATGCAAAAGAATTTTGTATGGAGAGTTAAGCTCCCAATTCAGAAAAATTTCGGAATCTTTTCCCTTTTTCTTCTGCATTTGATTTGTGTCTGTTTTCCTCGTGTCATTTTCCGTTATCTGCTATGATAATTTTCAAAATTTTCAAATATAATTGGCCAAATTTCCATGCTGGCGCATGACTATAAATAGGAACAGAAAACTGCTCTTGTGCTCCCATTTTACTCTCAATATAAGCGTCTATCTGTTTTCCTACGTTTTACGTCATTAGAATGGCTTCAATCGTTGCTTCTTCTACTACAACTAACAATGTTGATGATTCAAAGGGCTTTTTTATGACAAATTTGAAGATATATCGGTTTATTAGATGAAAAACGCCTTAACAAGTACGTCATTCGAAAAGATACTCATCAGAGTATTATGATAGCATTATCGCTGAAAAAAGGTAAATCATTAAAATCATTTTCGTAAAAATTTGTTCATTGGACAAGGAAACATTTTGAGGTAAGAAAGCTTGCTAATACTGATGTTCTGTATTGTTCGTCTTCGTCAAAACCTGTATGCATATATGAGTCGTGTTTTCAAATTTTAAATGAGTGTCATTAGAATATTTCTCCCGCAGAATTTTTATGTTGACACTATTTCTAATATTGATGTTCTTCTACTGGACCACCTTTTCTGCTTGATCAACCTATTTGACGCCTTTGAAGTCTCTCCTGAAAGTTCCTTTAGTCAGGAGGAGATTTGACCGAGATATAAGGTTAATTTTTGGATCGTCTGGAAAATCGGACTTCCAGAAAATTTTGAAACAAGTTTCTGCTTACAGAAGCATGTCTTAAGGTCTTAGCAACATGACGGTGACAGGCCGTATCTCATTCCTATCGAAGGTTATAATAACAAGAACAGTGAAACAAAACCAGCACCTTCACAGCGAACTGTTTTTATGCACACAAAAACGTTTAAAGTGCTTGAAGAAAGGCAGTCAGAAGAGTTGTGATTGTCGAAATAGATTGACCATTTTTCTTGTTAATTTTCCAGAGAAAAGTGAAAGACATGTCTTGTCGAACGACATTCTCCGTTTTATGTATGTTTATAGTAGATGACCGTATAGTGTGGAGAAAGACAGAGGTAAACAAAAGAGTGCTGGCTTATACAATGCACAAGCATGAAAGAAAGGGAGAGAAAAAGAGAAAAAGTGCGTTAGCCGGGAGTCGAACCCGGGTCGGCTGCTTGGAAGGCAACCATGCTAACCGTTACACCACCAACGCGACAGTCTCTGATGTTATCTAGGACAAGATATACTAAACAACCCTGATACTGGTGAAACAGCAATTGATGTCTTCGAACTATATAATAACTGGAGTACTTATTTTCACTCTGAAAAAAGAGATGCTTCAGCCGCGTTAAAGGCGACCTCAATTTTTATCAGTAAGATGGAATTTTCATGTAAAGAACACGTCACCATGCCTTACGAAGATGCCTGTATTCCAGTTTTATGCAGCCATAGTGCCTAGGTGAGACATTGTAGATGCTGTGTCAAGGCATTCTGAATGCGTTCTTCCGTGTAAATTAGGTGCATTTTTGATGCATAACGTAGGGCATGTCAGTGTCCTTAAAGCATCCAGTTGACTGTCTCTTCGTGAAGAACATTACAGATGTACGGAACATATTAGCGATAGTCCACCTTAGCTAAACTACGACCGTTGTTTAGGTCGAATAAAATTTGATACTGGACAGTCAACATATAAACAAAGACGATGTCAGCTCTGTCAATCTAAAAATATTAGATCAATGACTGTATTTCAGTGTATTCATTTGTGCTACAATTAGGCATTAAAAATTCTCAGTGAGAAACATTCTGATGACACTCATTTATATTTTTGAAAAAGTAGTTTTCACATTTGGACAAACACTCAAAATGCTTTTTGTGGAAATTTTCTCTATAATTGAAATGATTAGTACAGATAGAATTCTGTCATGCTTTGAACGCCTAAAATAAATCGATGTTCAGCGGACGAATGTCTTTAAAACTGTTTTTGTGTAAGCTGAACCTTAAGACTTTCACGATGTTGACGGTCTACCGTTTATCAGATACCTTAATCTGTACTAGTCATTTCAATTATAAGGAAAATATCCACAAAAAGCATTTTGAGTGTTTTTCCAAATGTAAAAATTTTGATTTAGCAAGAAATATAATTCAGCTTATGTCATTTATATTTTCCTACATTTTAGACATCTCTATAGCTTTTATGTGAAAGCATTTTTGGTTCTATTATTTCACTGCAGAACCGCAAATGTTCTGCCCCTTTTGCAGAACTGGTATTTGAAGCGATACTGTGAAATTCATAGTATTGCTGTGCTACCGTGAAACTATGAAAGTTTGAAGGTAGGTTTTTGAGACTATCTTGAAAAACAGATGTTACCGCGAGCTTCAGCGTGGTCGATTACCTATGTTTGCATTCGTTGTCAGAATTACTACGTCCAAAGAAATAGTGATTCTGGTACTCTCAGACAACCCAATGCCACACGTAGAACACAAAAAGCTAAGAGTTCACTTAGTTTCTCTTTTGCAAAGAACACTTTGGACTATGTATCTACGAAAAAAGAAAGGTTGACCCACTTCTGTCTCCGTTTTCAAGGATCCAAAGATCTGCTCAAAAACCGCGTTTTAAAATTTTTAAAAAGTCACTTTTGCTTATGGAAAGTTAGCCTCAGGTGTCTGCTTTCGACTGCTGAAAATCGCAACGTTCTATCGTACGGTGTTATTGCGTTATTGAAAGAATGGCAACCTACACTGTATTTTGGGGCCGATGATAATTCAAATATTTGTTTAAGTAAAATTTGACTCTTTTCTATGAATTTTTATCTGAAAATCTGGGAACGTTTGGTTTACCCAAACTACCATCACCATCATATGATAAAAGACCACAATTATCTTCTATTTTGGCGAGTAACTCAAGTCCATTTTTGGCCAAAACCGTGAAGGAGACCTAAGGAAAAAATAGTCAGAAGTGGTTTTCTATTAGAAGATGAGGGAAATTATTGCGACCAAATTGAAAAATAATAAAAAGGTTATTAATTATGTCTTTTAGCTTACTCAAACTAACTCATACTCAACAAATTGATGAAATTTTGTAAACTATGTCATATAAAGGACTAATTTTTCTATATAAGACGCTCGGTACTAGTATTAAAGTAGTAAAAAAAATCTACAGAAGCAACTTAAAATGTTCAACAACGAATGGAAAGTTTTGAACACGGTTAAACACTCGACGAAGGTACAGCAATAACAACATCGAGTATCTAAATTTCATACGTCTAATCTAAGAACTTCTGTTAAATATTCGTATCGGCGTAGTCAATATCGAAAGTATGCATTGTGTCAGTATGAAATACAAACTAATATTCCAGATAGCAATTTAGATGCTATCGAAATAATGTTGTTATAATTCTGAGCCGAACCGATCCCGAGCATGACCGATTCACGTTTGGGATCGGTGAAGGCATATTCAATTTTTTATTCAATCATTCTTCTTCAAAGTTCCTTAAGCTGTCATAAACTTCTCTAGAACTTTGCATAAACTACCCTCATAAAAGAAAAATTATTATTGTTACTAGATTCTTGACGTATAAAGTTTTATTCAACTTGCAGCTAGTGCTGCATCTATACGACAAAAGAAAAGCGTCCAAAACTTGACGCTTTTTAGTGGGCAGGTGTTTTGCCACATCTTGGTATGCTTTTTTTTTCTAGACGTTTTTTTGTGTGGGCTAATTTTTCGTATGTTTTTTTGTTACATAGAAAAACAAAATTTGAAAAGATTTCTGAATAATATTTTACTCAGTTTTTCACTCACTATACTTCGGAAACACGCTTGATGTGCTGGACCGATTCACTATCCCAGGAAATCAGTCGTTTCTGAGATAAGCTAGTGTAGTGAAACGAGTACTCTATGCAGTATGCACTTAAATGCTATACTTGGACGAATTTTTGTCGACGCTTATTTTAGTATGCTTTTTCGTAGATGTTTTCTAGCGGGTGCTTTTTCGAACGCTTATTTTCTTGCTGTGTACATATGTCCAAAGTTTGTAGTTTGTCTTTTTGATGGTACAAAAATTTTCTGAAACATTCACAATTGAGAAACATCAAGTACGATAGTATGAATAGAAAGATTGAATATGATCATAATGTTTATTTTGTCACAAATGTATTTAGAACGTCAAACGGAAAAAAGTTTTGTGAAAGGAAAGATCTGAATATTTTGCTTTTGCCGTTTTCAGTAAAAAACTTTTAGAGCGATTAATCGTAGATCAAAATGGCTCAATATTTCAGGAGAAGGTTCACTAACTATATGAGATAAAATTTGAGAAAAGAAATTTTCATCTGTCTTGGAAAAAGTACATATACGGTGAGAAAATGATTTAAATACCTAGTCATAGATATTATAGAAGTAAACGTACCCTACTCAGAGCAGACCATTGCGGATTGATTTATTTTTTTCTGCCAACGGATTTTGTCGGTATCATCAAAAATTACATTAATTTCCGAAAAAATCATTGAGGAATTTGTTCTTACTCCTCAAACGTTCACTGGATAATAATTATATTTTGATTTTTAAACAGAGATACTCAAAGGATCGTATGAGTACCTTATGTTGACTAATATGTTTAAAATTTCAGAATACAATCATGTGATTGCTGTTGACCATAGAATGCTCGTCAAAATGAAAAATGAGTTTGAATCTTGCAAATAAGTTTCTAAATTGGAAAAATATTGTTCTCTAACATATTTGTCGAATTTCGAACTATGTTTTCAGTACAGTATGAATAAATAGTTGTCTGACATAACTCGTGCTGTTTTGCACCTTATAAGGAGCGTTCATCCGCTGTTCACGGACCCTTGACTAGAAGTATATTTGTACACTTTGATAGCTCAGATGTCTATCGATAATGAATAAATGAATTATCAGAATTGCATTTAATCCATTTTACATTTGTATATTTAGTCGGCGATCACTAAAAAATTTTGTTTAAACCGAAATGTATATTAGCTGCAACAAGACAAAGTACATAAACTAATTCACAAACATGATTATTTGTCTATACTTCGAGATTAAGTATAAAAAAAAGTAATGTGTTAGTTATAACAAATAAATCTGTGTCGATATTCATATTTTGAAGAGTTGGCTAACTGTGTACCCATGTTTGCCATTTAGGATCAGATTGTGTTTTACCTTGTAACAGATCACTTTTGAAATAACATTCATCGATACTTAAACCTTTAGTCAGTTTTGATCGACTGAATCCCAAACAGCGAGGAACCATTAGACATTTAGCTTTACAATTATCCAGTGTTGATTTATATGAATTGTAATTAGGCATTGTTGAACCCATATTAACTTCACTGTATATCACAAAATTGTAAGTCGTCCATGATGGATTAATAATAATGACTGTATTACTAACTGACCATGTTTACCAACTTGGATCATTAATTGTTTGACCTCATGATAGATCATTTTTGAAATAACAGGCATCGATACTTGTATCTTTAGTTAGTTTTGATCGACTAAATCCTACGCATCCAGTGACTTTAAGGCATTTTGCCTGACAATTTGCCAGTGTTTCTGTATACGGGTTCTGATTAGGAATAACTGCTGGCGGAGTAACTTCGGTTCGAATAACAAAATTGTAAACTATCCACGATGAAGCTGGAAAAAATGAATACTGTGTTATAATAAACATTCAGTGTAAATAGCACTTCACTGATAATACTGACAAAGTGCAACAAGAACGGTAGTTGTATAGACTTCAACAAATATAAATCAACTGTTCATTAACGTTTGTTTTGTATACAATACTTACCAACAACTAGTATGGCATATACAATGACTGGCATCATATTTATGGATTTTGATTCAAAAGAATAATAACAGTTATACTAATTCCCAAGCAAAATTGAGTTACTTTCTACTGCTATAACTAAAGCGTCGAATATAGCTATTACAAATAAACGTATAACGATTACTGCGCGTGACAAACCTGGGTTCACAGAAAACTTACAAAATATGCGTAGACAGAAGAATAGGTATTTTACTCAACAAAAAAATAGGTTTCTTTTTCTCTTTGTTTTTCTCATTGTTTCTTTTTGTATTGAGTAAAATATATATTCTTCTTCCTACATATATTTCGTAAGTCTTCTGTGAACCCAGGTTTGTCACACGCAGTAATTGTTATACGTTTACTTTAATAGATATATTCGCCGCTTTGGACATAGTAGTGGAAAGTAACTCAATTTTTTCATTTATAGAGATAGACGAGCGAAACGAATAAGCATTAAGGTTTTGAAAAACTAAGTATTGGTAATAAATACAATCAGTACACTTTTGATGTTTTCTCGGCAACGGCTCGATGATTTGAGCTGGGAAACGTCTCAAAAGATAGTGAATTTGTTTTTATACAAGGTACATTATTTTACACATTTCTCCGGTGAGCAATACTGTCCACTATTATCAGGACTACGACATCGACTATGCTAGACCATTATGCGAACCCTTCGATAACTTGACTCTATTCAAGCGGTGACTGGGCATCTGAAAATTATTATTGTAGATTCTGAAAGCCCTTGGGATATCGTATCTGTTGAGGTACTTGCCAAAGGATGTGGAGTAGTAAGATCATCCGGCACCATCTCAAACCATCTGAATTAGAGTATCCAAAAATAATCAGCAGATTATTTTAGATGAATTTGTCATATTTAGACATCTGTCTGTGATTTCCAAAAATTACCGTAGAGGTGTACGGTGAGAAAAAATGAAGAAATAAATTTGTCGAATTCTCTCTCGATTTTTATCTAGTCTAATATATTGATTACGAATATGATCTTGAAATGGTATGAGCTATTTCAATTTACCACGAAAATGTGCCATCAGTAAAGGACGGTATGGTTGAGACTAAAACAGATCGTTCTCACATTTGTACAATTGAAACAGGCTATGTGAGAGAACGTCCAGATCCGAATGTCACTGAATAAATTCGATTAAGAGTTGGTCAGCGGTTAGTAGGGAAGTTTAGTAGGCCGATCAATTCAATGTAACTTAAAATTCTCTAGTTTCTTGAAACAGTGGACTGAAGAAGAAAATCAGGCATTAGACACAAGGTGAAGGATTTGCACTTTCTCTGGTATGCACACGAAGTAATCTAATGTCAATTTTGTTTGTGAAATTATATGAACCTGATGATCATCCGTGTTCTTTTCTTTTTCTTTATCGTATATGTACATACACTGTATGTATATGTGCACGTGTTAGTGTTAGTTCTACTGTACTATTCTCGTTGAATTTACTTATTTTAAAAAAAAAAAAAAATTTTTTTTAAAGAAATTCAGTTTTATTGCAAAAGTCAAATGTCTCTTTCAAGACATTCGTCCATGGTTCAAGATTCTACACAACCCGCCCTGATATCTAGTCAAAGCCTGCCTCTTCAGATGCAAAACCAAGTGTTCTATCAAGGAAAAGATATGCCTCATTATTTATGTGATCAACAGCAAATGCCTATGGTTATTATGCAAAATGGTCAGTTGTTTCCATTAAATCAGAACTTTCCTTCCTCGTTATACGGCTTTCCACCTGCTCAAGTATCAAGGTCAATAAGTACATATAATATGACTCATAGTGGCGAACAAATCCAAGTTCCTGAAAATACCTATGCTAGTCCACGAGAATCTAATGTTCATTCAACTCCAAGCGTCAATAAACGAACTCTTGATGATGTTGGTCATTCTTTTGAGAAAGAAAATGAAAATGAAGTGAATACAACTATATTGTCCCTGAGAGAAAATAATGGCTGGCAATCATCACGACGTAATAATAAGAAATTTATTGCAAGTCGAAATCGTACGTTCCACATTTCCAATCAGTTACAGAATAATGTCCAATCTACATTACCAAATCAGCAACAAGCATCTGGTCAAATTTCGGATCAGCAACAATCAGTAAATAATCTTCCTACGCGACAAACAAGTCAACGTAATCCAACTGAAAATACGACATTTCACCAGGCGAATGAAAATCAAAATGTGATTACTAATCAAGCACAACGTTTTGCTACAACTCGCTATCCCTTCTCTCCGTTCATTGTTCATTTTAAGGAAGATATTCGTGATAAATTAGTGGTTGAACATTTAGTCAAACATGCAAAAGAACAGTGTAATGATTTTGATTTACGTGTTATGGGTTATCGTAGAACGCCGATAAATTCTGCTGGTGCTGAATATGATGTTTTAATATTTGTTGAAAATACACAATCATTTGCATTTTTACTTGATGTCGGAAACTGGCCTGCGCAACTTGTTGGAAAAGAATATAGTCGAAAGATGCCTTCTATTCCTCCTCAATTATCTGGTGTTATTCAAAATGTTGCTTTTAATGTCAATTGGGATGAATTTGTTCAGGATATTAAACGTCAATATCCTCAAGTGGTCAATGTTATTCGATTGAAAAGTCGTAATCTCAAAGATCTTAAATTAGTTAAAGTGGAATTTAACTCCGATACTGTTCGTGATGAATTCTTGGAAGGAAAATATGTATATGTGCATTTTATGCGGTATCCAGTAGTGGAATATATGGCTTTAGCTCAAGTATTAATATGTTCTCGATGTATGCAAATTGGTCACTTCCAGAAAAATTGTCCACAAAAAGATGTAGTAACTTGTAAAATATGTGGAGTAAAATGTGCTGATATCAAAAAGCACGAATGCCAAGGTGTTCCTAAAAGTATTCGTTGTGATGGAGATCACAAGTCCAGTGACACTAAATGCCCAAAAGTTAAAGATTATCGAGCCGCTTTAACTCGTACTCCTCTAGCAACAAGAAATAATGTTCAAGTTACTCAACCTGTACAAAATAATCTTGCTCTAACTACATCGAATTTTCCTTGGCTTAACTATTTGTCTCCAACTAATACATTAACTACTAATAACAATCATGTTGATGCAATTGGAATGTTCGAAAAGTTACGAGAAACTATGATAGACGAAGGCAAAAAGACTCGTGAAAGTTTTGATCAATTTAAAGAAGAAATGTTTCAGAAAGATAAAGTATATGAGCAAGAAATATCTAATTTGAAATCTAAAGTTACAACGCTGGAGAATCAACTGGCTCAACAAAATTTGGTACAACAAGAAACCATGATTCTTATCACAAGTATAATACAAGTAATGAAATCTGGAATGAAAAAAGGTGAAGATATAGGTGCATTTAGTTGTATGATCGGTGAACTTATGTCTAAATATCATATTAATCCTCGAGATCTCAAGTTGTATACTACAAAAACATAATGTCTTGGAATCCAAATGCAGTTTTATTTATTCCAAGTACTGCGGACCCATGTGAAATAGAAATAAGAAATTTAATAATTAAAACTGGCCAACAAGTTTTGTCAAGTACGGATTCTTTGCTATTTCATTCCATTATTGATGAATGGCATTCTTCTCCCTTACTGTCAACTTGCTTAGACAATTGGGAATTAATCTCAAAGCATAAGGTGCAATTATCATTTACTTTTCTACATACTTTATGTTTTAATGTTCGAGGTTTAGATTTAAGATGGGGTGAAGTTTATTTACTTTTTTCATCATACAACTTTGATATTCTGGTGCTATTGGAAGTGGGTAAATTTGATCAAGCTACCATAAATACTGCTTTCCCAAATCACTATTTATTCTATCAAGAAGGAGAAAATGCTCGTGGGGGTGTGATTATTTTGGTTCGACAAACTATTTCTGTTATTCGTGTCCCTTGTTCCCTTGCTAATGTATGTGTGCTTGATTTACATCTTGATGAAACTTTACGTCTAATTGGAATGTATGCCCCGGATAGAACATCGTGGTCATGGAATGAGTTATCACCTTTCTTCTCAACCAAGTCAGTTATTTGTGGTGATTTCAATGTGGATCTTGTAGAAGATGGGGATAAAGCAGATAGACTTATGAAATGGGCTGATGAATTGGATTTATTTTCTGTAGTTCCAGATACAAGTACTTCACGTAGATCAGATAGAACTATTGATTATGCCTTTGTAAAAGGCACACAAGTTACTGTACAAGTTCATGAAGGTGCTACCACTAGTGATCATAAACCTATCATTCTGGTTTTTGCCTTTGATGACAAACGTAAAAATATGGCTAGTTGCACTTCATGGCTTGTGTTCTCGTTATTTTTATCATATACATTTGTATTCTGGGAAAAACAATGGTCTGCATTTGACATGAATGGAACCTATAATAATTTCACACGATTTCTTTCTTTACTCGCTGCTCGATGTACGAGAACTTTTCCATTAAAATTAGCGAGACCAGCAATTCCACCCGAATTAAGAAGCAAGCTATCGTATAGTCGCGCATTATCATTCAGAGCTAAACGAACAGGGAATATGAAATCAAAAATCGCGTCTGCAAAAATTCGAAATGATGTTCGTCGCGAATTAAAGCTATTCCAACAGAATCAACTGGCAAAACAACTCTCAGATCGAAACAAATTAGGTGATTCAGCACGGATGTTTTGGAGTAAATCGAAAAAACATTTTCGCAAACAAACAGCAGCGCTAAGAGGATTCAACTTACCATCTGGTCAGATAGAGAGAGATGCCTCATCAATGGTTCAGTTGGCTGCAGATTACTATGAAAAATTATTTGAAGAACCAGGTGTCATACGACCACACCCCTATACTGATTCTCCCCTGGCTTTAAATCTAGAAGATGACTCACGAATCCCAGATGTAACCTATGCAGAAGTACTGAAAGTTGTTAAAACACGTAAGAAAAAACGTTCCTGTGATATACATGGAATATCTCCTTATCTTCTTAATCAACTACCTGATAATTATTGGCATTTTATGGTGAAATTATATAATCATTCATTTCGTACTTATCAAATGCCTGATAAATTCAAAGATGTAAGAATTATTCTTCTCGCTAAAAAAGATGCTATTTGTGCTCCT